TCATTCATGTGCTTCATTTTTACCACTAACTAAAAACAAGCACTCACATTATCTCTATACTTATGCAGGATTATTTATCTTCAGTTTACATTTGGTTCCTAAACATAATTTATCATATTTGCTCTTTGTATAAAGACGGGTATTTTCACAGTGTAGTAGTTGCACTGTGAATTAATTGTTCATTTAATAACAAACAAAAAGTTCCAGTGGGCAGTTTCTTATTATACAATATAAAAGTAATAAGGAAAGTAACTTGTTTTCATTACGTTCATTAATTATTTTAATTTGGTAACTTATTTCTAGAGCATATATATATATAGTCATTTAATTTTAAGTAATTTAAAGTTTTGCAAATTCTTTAAAGTATTATTTTATTTATTCTTCTATATTCATGTTAACATCAGCCATAGTATAAATAATTGTTATCACATTGAAATATATTGTGATAACAGATTAGACTATTTAGTGGGGTGGTTGTAGATCAGATGAAGAGTATTGTGTGTTGCAACAGGAAGTGAGTGCAGGCGCAGGGTTACAGAAACGCGGGATGAAGACGCCCCCTGTTACCCCTAAAGCAATTATAGCTAGGGAACAGGAGGTAAACACAAGTGCTCCTCAGATCACACCTTTGAGATCTGAAACTGCTCTTGAGTGTAGTGCCAGCACTAAAGCTTCAAACGACCATGTCTTCTACTGTCCTGTCAATAATGACATATCAGTGCTCTACGGAGTCATATTGGTATAGATAAGGAAATAACACGAATTGTTGTTGTAGTGAACTAGTTTGGTACTTATTGTAATACAATATTAACTAAACCAATGGCTATGTGTAATGTTGTTTAACAAGGTAGTCTACAATAATGAGCGCATGATGAGACTATAGAGCGCAACTCTATAGTCTCCTGAGACTGATGGATGCCTGCTACTACAGTAATGGTCTTGTCGTGATTAGTTAGTGCTTTGAACTGCGTTCACTAACGAGAACAGGATTTGTATTATTTTCATCATATGTTAACATGTCTTACCTGTGTTAACATGCCTGCTTTGTGTGTGTGCAGGTGTTGTTGTTGTCTTCCTCATTCTTGTTCAGCAGTCAGTTTCACTGTCTTCTTCTTCTTCAGTTTATCACTTGAGCTTTATATACATCTTGTGTGTGTGTGGTAATATTTTGTCCAACTTCCCATTAAATTTTTCCTTACCATTTGGGAACTCCTTTTTCTTTCATAATTTCTTTTCATGATTTGTGTGAATGAAAGTTGTTACAGAATGTAGGCTAGTTTCTAGTTAAGAGGAATGGTTGTTACATTAAAGTTATACCTTATAACTTGGGGCAAGCATTTTCACAGTGCTAGTAGTGGGATGTTTATATTATAAATTGAAGTGTACAAAATGTTTGAATTGACTAATTACCTTTGTTTATCTGTATCTTTATTTTGGTATGAATTTTTGTGTGCTTTCATCATATAGTTCACAAATTTTGGCATACATCTCATTTACTTTCTTGCCTAGCAACAAATCTGTCCAATTAAATTCATAAAGGAATGTGCTAATTTTCTCAAGATGTTCTCTCTTGAAATCAAGGTTTTAACAGTTTCAATGTCCCCATTCTCTTCAAGATTATATTGCAAAGCATCTTTAATTTCCAAAAGGGCTTGATCACTCTTTCCCAAGGGAGGTAGGTACTGAATGTCAAATATCTCTTCTTCTTTCCTGCTGAATATTAAATTAAATATTGACAGAACATCCACTTCCCTCATTCTTGTGGCCTGCTTGACGTGTTGATACATGACTGTCCAAATGTCCTTCGTTCTTGCTTCGTTGGTCTCCCAGTCTATTGCTTTCTAGTTAAAGTCCCTCAATACCAATAATTATGATTTATCTTTGCTTTTACTTTAATCTCATTCATGATCATTATGACACCCTCTCGTTTGTCATCTAGTTCCTCCTATGTCCGTGTGTTGCTTGCTGGTGAGCTGTAGGCATTTACAGTTATCAGTTTATCATTGTGATTCCAGCCCTGCAATGCCATGATGTCAACTTCTCAAAGGTTGTTGATTATTAACTGTCTTGCCTTCAGGTGTTCTTTCACCAGCACAGCCATTCCTCCCCCCTTTCCTAGTTTTCCTCTCACATCTGCAAACTGAGTAGCCCCTTGTGAATACAACCTAATTTAACGTATTTTCTTCAAGTTTTGTCTCTGTTAGTGCGACAATATCTGGGACCTTAAGCTGAATTATATCTTTTAGCTCCAGTATTTTTTATCTCACACCATCTAGTTGGGTATATACAATTTTCAGGATTGTCAGGTGGCTATCAGGACTTGCTCAGCTTGGTAGTATTGTCTGTTTTGTCCATTTTCACCTGGTTGCATCGGGAAAACTTTACAAGTGCACTAATCTTTGCTGTACAAGTAGCAAAACACAAAAGCTGTTTAGTACTATTCATGCCTTAACTATTGCACTGTGCATAGCACCTTAAGGAGCCCTTAGGTATAGGGAGAACCTTAGTACCAAATGAGTGACCAAGGCTGTTGCATGCAGCAGCAGCAGCAGCAGCTCACTGCACTGCTGTGCATCTAAGGGCCACAGCACCACTTAATAATGATGACTAAAATAGATAACTGCACATATTTTCCTTTAATAGTATCATAGATGATCCTGAATGTGATAAAGACTATGTACAATGTTCAGATATCAGTGAACACACTGCTAGTTATGATGATCACAGCAGGAAGTTACCTTACCTTGAGGTGCTTCCGGGGCTTAGCGTCCCTGCTGCCCGGTCGTCGACCAGGCCTCCTGGTAGGGAGGTTACCTTGAGGTGCTTCCATGACTTAGCGTCCCCGCAGCCCGGTCGTCGACCAGGCCTCCTGGTAGGGAGGTTACCTTGAGGTGCTTCCAGGACTTAGCGTCCCCGCAGCCCGGTCGTCAACCAGGCCTCCTGGTAGGGAGGTAGACATTCACAGCACATAGCCGAGGTTTGTGAATCTATGCATCATGCAAAGTGACCTCATTTTCCTTTAGAAAATAATTTTGTGGAAAAATATTCATATTCATGATTTAGTGATAGTAATGTGATAATAGCACTGTTCGAAGTGATGATAGCGATGTGCATAGTTTATTTTTGGGTATTTTGGTGCATCAGGTGACGTTGGCTAGTTGCATCAGATGGTCGTAGCATATAGCTCTATACTGTGCCAAGATTTCATCAACACACACATAAGAATTACTTGGTGGTTTTTTAGGGTTTATAAAAATATAGTTAGATGTATATAACATGTGCATACAGTATATAGTGATATAACAGCAAGACACAGTTTGAGCTAAGAATATAATAATACATATCACTGGATATGAGCTCCATAATTTTGAGCATAGCAATGTTACATTTGATTATATATATTTCTCAAATTACACACTTGAATAATATTTCAGAAAAAAAACTGAGAAACATTGATATAATTATGAAAATTTATACTTCTGGCACCTGCTGCCCCACGGGGTCGCTGGGGCTAGCATCTTTGAGCACCTACTCACTCAGCGCCTATAATTTGCTCTGCTCCATAACTTCTCTGCTCCATCACAGCTAAAGTATGTCACATACATCTTTTTAAATTTCCCGTGATCAGAGAACGCATTTTACCAATATAAGAACACAATTTTTTTGTGAGTAATTTATTTTTAGGTCACCACAAATTTGTCAGATTATAATGTGGCGCAGTACAGTGGTTAAGACGCTGCTCTGTAGCTTCAAGAACTCGTGATTTTAATACTTTGTGAATAAATGTTACTTTTGAATATTTCTGCTATTGAGGAAACTCTATTTTGTGGCTATGTTGCCATAAACCTCTCATTTCTGGCTCCTGTTTTAATGTTTTGTTAAAACTATCAAGATTTTCTGTTAGTGATTAATATGGGAAATGCCTTGTAAAAAGTAGACAGGTACTGAAGTGTTGAGGAATTAATAGGGAAATAAGTAATTATTAAAGAAGTACTGCAATGCTAAGCTGTAAGACTATAGCTTTATAGGGAAAAAATGATCTACCGTCGTGTTATCGTCGTAAAAAAAAACGTTGTCATTATCTACCATATAAGGTTTTTATATCTTAGTGTACCTGTATCTTGTGAAAAAAATGAGATAAATAGTAATAAGTTGAAGATAGCTTAGTCAGAATATGACAGAACAATGTTTAAGCCAATATATTGACATGAAAATTGGTTTGCTTAATCCTTTATAAGTGCAGGTTTAAAGGGTTACATTGTTGGACAATATAACTCATTTGGCTCATGTTTTCTTGTTGGACTTTTGTGTTGGAGTATTGGCACAGCCACTTACATCAGGCTGTTATAAGTGTCCTAGGTTGACTTACATGCAGTAGTGTGGAATGTGTTTATAACCCACTACCAGTACACTATTATAACCCACTACCAGTCTTATAACTTGGTTCAAAGTGTCAGTTTAGAAATGCTAATTTTATGCACAATTATTACCCTTCTAGTAGAGTTTTAACTATTTCCGTTAACAGTTTTAATAATCATTTTAGTTCCCCATTTATGAATATTTTGTATATTTATATTTTTAAATTAATACAATTTAAATTTTTTTGATACAGTATCATTTTTAATCTTATTGTCTTAAATTTATTCTTGATGTCTTAATGTGGGTAATACTCAGACTCATCTTTAAGAGATTTTTCTTTTGTGCTGTCAAGTTCATTATTAAGCTGCTAATTGTGATGACACAAAATAAGACAGTGAATTAGGTCTACAATTGGAATTGTGTTTAATGCATTATTTGTAGCCTAAGGAAGTACTGTTGTGTACTTTTTCAGTAAATTACAAAAACAAAAAAAATAGGTGATCTGTAGTTTTAAGATCATTCTAGCTCAGATATAAATGCTTTTACAGTATCTTGTATGGAGTAGTAATTTTGAGAGACTTAGGAAGAGTTTTAATATACTGTATTTACGTATATATTGATTATTGTCCAATTTTTTACAGTCCCCAATTGTTGTCTGGAAGATGAAGGCTCCAGAGAAGAAGCCGTTGGTGCGACGTGAGAAAGCAGAAGAAGTGAGAGCCAAAGTTCGTAAAGGCAGTCAAAAGAAGCCCGTCTCTGCCCTCAAGGCTCTGGCAGAGTTTCAGAGTCCGGCAGATGCAATTTAAACCATTTGTTTATCTATTTGAAATATAGAGCTGTTTAATTTTGCTTTGTAAACTGAAAATCTCAGATGTGTCGATTTCAAAGTTGCAGAGGCATCACACACGAATATAATGTAAAGTAAGACTGTTATCGAGTAGTCCTTCTCAGTAGACTAATCTATAAGTAAGATCCCTGTGGAGGGAGAGTAAGTAATGCTAGGAGTTGATGGATAAGCTCTTAAGTTTACTTGACCAGGGTCTTATACTGTGGTACATTATGTGCTTACTCTCACATTCATTACGTATAACATTATTTTTGTACCAGAAGGCAGCAAATAATTAATATTGATACCAAATTTAAGTTTGTGTTACCAAAAGGAATTGTAAACATTGATAATACTCCCCAAATCTGCTTGTCACAAAGAATTAATAGAATTATAATTAAAAAGTCATTAAGTTTAATTCTAATTCCTGCAAGAAACATTTTTCCCTGCATTTTATTGCAGTGAATGTCTATCATATTGATATGAGGCACACAAATGGTTTCAAATGTCATTTCTTGATAAAAATAGTGAAAATTAGGGATTATGTTAGGAATATATTCATATTCAACATTCCTGTTCAGTAATTTCATGTTTGTCCAAAATAGGATTAGGTATATATTTTTGCATGACATTCTTGGTCAGTTCTCTAATGCATCAAGTTAATGACAAAGTTCTTGCTTTGTGGTATAAAGATTCCTTTATCTCAAAACTAAATTATATTTTGTTGCTATGATTACATTATAATTATTTTAAATATTTTAGTTTATCATCAGTCATAAGATGTTTTAAGGCTTTTTGAAATATTTTGTCTATCATATGAATCATGTTCTTCACTTCATTATTTTATGGTAAACTATTATAAATATTGTGGACCAACTGTTCTCTTGTGTACTGTGTGAATATTCACAGTTCAAAGTAGCTGGTTCAATGGTGCTGGGTGAATGTCTGAGCTCCTCGACCACCATGCTTTATGTGGACGCTCAGGGGATGGTTAACTTTGAATATTTCAGGTTGTTAAAATCTTAATGTAAAATTGTTGACCAGACCACACACTAGAAGTTGAAGGGACGACGACGTTTTGGTCCGTCCTGGACCATTCTCAAGTCGATTCTCAAGTCGTTCTCAAGTCACAATCGACTTGAGAATGGTCCAGGACGGACCGAAACGTCGTCGTCCCTTCAACTTCTAGTGTGTGGTCTGGTCAACATACTTCAGCCACGTTATTGTGACTCATCGCCTGCTTAATGCAAAATTGTTCATATAATGGCATGCATTAAGCTACTTCCTTTGTATAATTGAGCAGTTTAGTATTTCCTTATGTATGGTACCCATCTCAGTCTAGAGCATAAAGTTGTTCATAAAAGATAAAGACATGCAACATTTTGACTTTATTTTTCTGCTATGCAGTGTTAGTGGTCTTAGATGTTTCTGATGCCTTATACTTGTGTTAAGGTGAAGAATTTGAAAAAAGGAGCTAACTTATTGTACATGTTATATATAGCTTTCAAATCTCATCCCCAAGTTTGATATTGATTACTGTGTGTGCAAAAACAGTTAAGCAAACTCACTGAATTTGTTTCTGGCAATGTCAGATGTTTAATAATTATCGTGATAATTATCACGATAAATTATAAATATAATTGGATAAAGTGGCAAATAATATACCGATAGTTCACAAGTCTTGTGGTTTTCAAGTGTTGATAATAGATTAACTGATAAAACATATTAGTTGGAAAAAGTAATTAAAGTAATATTACTTGAATTTGATTGATGGAAATGGAGTGGTGTAAGTAGTGGAGTCGATGTGAAGTATAAGAAACATCAATATGGAAGTCTGCCATAGAGTACATGGTGCTAAGAAAGGGACACCAACATCCACCAGCTAATTACCTGCTGTTTGAAGTATGAGTATTTCACCTTCATTAATCATTCCAAAGTATTGATCAAGCTTATCTTTGCAACTTAGACTTAAGTTTGGTCTTATATTACTGTAGTGCATTGTTCTACATCTATTAGGCATTTGTGTAATTTGCAAATGCAATGGTCTGATTAAGAAAGTGTATCATTCTGAAAAATGAATATTTTCTGTAGTCTTTAACTCAGTGATTTAATATTATATTTAATATCTTTGCATATCATCTCTCATTCATTGGGATAGTTTCCTTGAGAAAGATAGAGCATGGGCAGCTTTTTTATATATCATTAGATTAAGTTATGTTGATGGGATCAGTCATTACAATGAAAGGCACCAAAGTAGATTGTGGCATGCTGGTCATGGTTAATAACTTATATTTTGTTCCCATATCAGCAACAAATATCAATTGCATTATAAATAAGTGATTGTTATAAATGCTATATTCACACAGTACAGCATCATATATCATAACTTGTTAATCTCTTGTACAGTAGATCAACTCTATATTAATACTGGATCACTTTCCAGGTTTCTTTGCAGCTCTTGGCAACTTGCATAATCTCCTGTGGTAATGTGTTTAATTAAACTTCCGTATGCAGTTGTTAATAGTGATTTATTGGTTTTACTTGTATCATAAAATGTATGCTTTTAGTAAGAAAACAATTGGCAATTATAACAGTCTCGTTTAATATCTTATAACCATAAATATCATGTACCTTGGGTGCCAAAATATATGTAAAAGATCCTAAAAAAACTGAGTTTCTTTATCTTTTAATAATATATTATTATGATAAAACTAAATTGATTTGACATTACCTTTGTTTCTCCAACATATTACAGTGCTTATCAGTAACTTCAAGTAATTATGAGAGCTATATTGACTTGTAAGTAATTATCAAAAGTGTGTACTGAGTAAAAGTAGTTGGCTCACAGTGGCTTACTTAAAAAGCAGAATGATTGCCAGTTATTTGTTAGCTGTCCATAGAATATACATCACAAGCCTCATGGTGGCTGTTGGGATCTAACCACCTGCTGTGGAGAAATGCCAACATGTGTAATGGTAGTGATACGAGACCTTGCAGGTTTTCAGTGGTATGTACTTGTCAGGAGGAACACTCCCCAGCCAGGCCCGTCATCAGGTGCGACATTATTCAGGCTGGGCCCCTCACTCGAGGACGTGACTCAAATCTTCGAGGAAATTGAAGTAATACTAAGAAAAATACCTAGCCTGTATTCTCATCTTAAATGATATATATTTACAGTTATATCATATGTACAATGTATGTACAGTTCAATCCACTGCCATCACCAATCAGTCTTCTATAATGCACCAATACTGACTTAATCACACTATATTTCTGCACTGTCCAGCACTGTTGACCATGTCGTGGCTTTCAATGTCTCTTCCCATCCAAGATCGACAAATTCCACATTGTCTCCCTCGAGCGACTTCCAAACGCCGAGCTAATACACTGCTTGCCGGGGTGGAGCATTTTTCCTGCAGTTTGTCTCTGGACCATGAGCCGAACACTTGATGTTTATGTCCCAGGACTGAGTGGGGCACTGCTTATGCCCAAATTTATCGGTGTGCTTCTTGTCTCGGTCAATGACTGATTGGCTCTCATTTCCTACCAGCCATGCAGTTCTGGGTCACACTACACCAACTGTCATTGACCTCATTTCTTCTGCAAACTGTTTAACACATTATACTTGTAAATAACAATTTTAATTTTGGTGGAACAAAGCAACACGTTCTGATACCTTTCTCTAACGAGCTATATTTGGATGATGTCACGCCTCGCACATTGGATAATTAAAGTATCCGTAATACAGTACATTTGTCATTCACATTATCAAATGTAGGAAAATGCCCATATATCCTACACCCAAATGACAGTAAATAGAGAGAGAGAGCATATTAAAATATACAAACTACTTTTCTGAAGCAATGTTTAATGGACTAGTGCCATTTTTGTTATTTTCTGGGCTAATTCTTTCACATCTTATGAAGAAAGAAATAGGGCAATACTGATGATCCAGGTTTACATATTTAATGGCAGTATGCCAATAAAGAGAAGATGAGCAGAGAGAGGATCAAGATAGGAAAGGGTGGGAGTCCACACGAGTGGGTTCACCAGAATTCAGAAGAGAGGACAAATGGTTCGAGAAGGTGACCCTGGGTATTTGTCAGAACATATTCCCAGGGAAAATGCTGACAGTTAAAATCGTCCAAAAGGCTCTGGTAAGGAGTCTAACAGGTGTTTAAGATCAGGAAGAGAAAGCGAGAGATTTGGGTGAAGATAAATGGAATAGCCTGTATACCATTTACTCACAAAGATACGGGTCACAGAACACCGAATGTGCGACTGAAAAAGTAGAGGGGCAAAGGGAATATCATGACTGATCAAGAGAGCAGTAGAGTTATTATGGGCCCCAGCAAAAGCTGCAGGGGAAGAGAGAAAGGAATAACCACTGAAGTGACCAGGACGAGTGCAAAGCATCGGCTCATGGAGACAAATAAAGCGGTGAAAATTGTGCGATCAGAAGTTGGCATAAAAACCCAGAATATTCAATTTTAGAACAGACATAGACAAGAGAGAAAGAGCAGAAACAGAGATAACAAGGGAAAAACAAAGGCAGAGAAGAACAGTAGACTAAGTAAGATCAGGATCAGTGAAATCGAGATGATGGGGTATAGGCAAATCTAGCAAAGACAATTGAGTCAAGGGAGTGGGAGGACGGACCAGAGGCGGACTGACAGAATCTGGAGCAAGAGGAGGCATTGGAGTAACCCCCAAGGGAATCGGGTAGGAAGGACCGGAACAGGAGAGTGCACTGGATCAAGGGCAGCATCTAAGTGAGAATCAGTGACCAAGGGAACCATCATAGCAGGGACAGACAACTCCGCCACTGAAATGGGAGGGGAAGCAGGAATAGTGTTGGAGTCTGAAGGTGAGGAATATATTGAAGCCTTTTAACCCGCCGGGGAGGAAGGAGAGAAGCCAGGCTTACGTTTCTGATGTGAGACACATACCATTAGCAATGTACTGGGCGACAGCCTCTACAGTCTCAACAGGAGAAGGGGAATGGTCAACGTGAAGAACGTTGGGAGGAGGATGTTCAATGGCCCGGACAGACAGGTGGTGAGAAGGGCCAAAAGACAGAGGGGACGGCTGAGAAGAAGGAGTGGGGCGAGAAGGAAAAGAGGGCATAGGAAACAAGGAAGACTGGGAAGGAAGGAAGGAAACACCAGATGGAGAACCAGGAGGAAGACCCTCTGGCTCAGAACGCAAAGGAGCAGGTGAGATGGTGGTGTTGGGGTGCAAGGCCTGGAAACTGTTGTGAAACTGAGAAAGCGAGGAGGAGAAGAACACAACACACGCATAAGACATGCCAAAGAAAGGGAAGACGCCGAACCTGTCATCTTTCCTGAGGAAAAGATAAATGATTGAGATGTTTCAAATTGAGGATAGCTTCCTCAA